GCGACGCCGCCCCTGGCGCTCTCCGCGCGCCAGGGAGGGGGGGGCCCAGCGCAGATCGGAGAACTCCGCGCGGATCTCAGAGTTCTTATATCCATGTCATGCCATTGTTTGTTCCCTGGTGTCGTGTCGGCGCGGCGACGACAGCAGCGCGGGCGTTCAAGGGTGAGCGTCGCCAGTTGCCCAGCTTCGGAACGATCCACGCGGTGTCAGAGACCGACGCTGGGGTCGTCACGGCACGAACGGGCCGCACGGGTCCAGCTCTCCGACGGCTGGTTTTCGATTCCCAGCCATCCTGTGGTGTTGGGTCCTCGTTTTGAAGAGACAGTGCCCCGCGTTCCTTCCTTCCTCTCCTCCTCCCCCTCCTTCCTCCTCCCATCCTCCCGCTGCCCTGCCCCCCCGGGCCTCTGCCCTCCACAAGTCCACCTCCTCCTCCTCCTCTTCCTCCTACTTCTTCTCCTCCTCCTCCTCCTCCTCATCATCATCATCATCATCAGCATCAGCATCATCATCATCATTGACATCATCATCGTTATCACCATCGCAATCGCCATCATCCACATCATCACTATCGCCATTGTCAGGATCGCGCCTCTACTCCGCAAGTGCACCATCTCGGCACACCCCTCACACGGTTCGTGGCATCATAGGGTGTTCCACCGAAGGCGTCCCGCGCCCATTTCGGCACACCCCTCACATGGTTCGTGGCCACGCAGGGAGCTCCGCTGAAGGCCCCAGTGGCTGCGTTCAGATGCGTCCCGCGCCCGTTTCGGCACACCCCTCACGCATTTCGTGGCCCCATGGGGAGCTCCTCAGAAGGCGCCAGTTGCCGATTTCACTTCTTGGAGGTGTTCTGTTTGGGGGTGTCCTCCAGCAACTGCGGCTCGCCGAGAGCCTTCCAGGGGCGCCCAAAGTGTCGTCCCGAATGATCGCTGGAGGCCTGGGCTATCCGAGCTCTTGCAGGCTGTCGAGGATGTTCGAGGCCTACCTGGGGCCTCAGTGGGCTTCGGGGGTGCGTCTGGAGACCTGCGTGCTCTTCCGTCGGAGGCCGTCGGAGTTCGGCCATTTTCGTTGTCGTCGTCGTCGGCGGCCTAGTCATCCTCGTCGTCGTTGTGATCGTCGAAAACGATTTCTTGTGGCTCGCCTCCGAGTCGTCGTCGTCCAGGGGTCGGGGAGGCACCTGGCCGAGTTTGCGCGGCCACCCTCCTTCGTCTCACCTCCCTCGGCCGAGTTTGCGCGGCCACCCTCCTTCGTCTCATCTCGCTCGCCCCGCGGTACTCGCAGCTGCATATGGTTGGGTCCTTCGTCAGGCCAATTCCAACCCTCGCGAGTTTTCTGTGAGTTCGCCCCTTGGGGACCGTTTTCGGGGCCGGGGACCATCAAAATAGGGTTCGGGGGTGAAAGGGGCCCCCCTGCAAAATGGCAGCGGGCGTAAACCATTCAAACCTCTTCCATCCTCCTCCTCCTCCTCCTCCTCCTCCTCTTCCTCCTCCTCCTCCTCCCTCTTCCTCCTCCTCTTCGCATTCCTCCTCCTCCTCCTCCTCCTCCTCCTCCTCCTCCTCGGACGTATCCAAAGGGGGGTTCGTAGGTCATCACGCCTCAACCTCAGCCTGATGTAAGAGCTGAGATCGAAAGCCTCAACCTCAGCCTGATGCAAGAGCCTATCGGAAAGCCTCACAGCAGGAATCCTTTGGAAAGCGCCACGAGGGGATTCCATTGGAAAGCCCCACGCAAGGAATCCTTTGGAAAGCACCAGAAAGGGATTCTATTGGAAAGCCTCACAGCAGGAATCCTTCGGAAAGCATCACAAAGGAATTGCATGGGAAAGCCTTACAAAAGCAATCCTTTGGAAAGCACAACAAAGGAATTCGATGGGAAAGTCTCACACAATGGAATCCTTTGGAGAGCACCGCAGCGGGATTCGAGTGGAAAACCGCACAAAAGGAATCCTTCGGAGAACACCACAGCGGGATTCTATTGGAAAGCCGCACAAAAGGAATCCTTTGGAAAGCACCACAAAGGGATTCTATGGGAAAGCCTCACACAAAGAATCCGGTGGAAAGCACCACAAAGGAATTCGATTGGAAAGCCTCACAACAGGAATCCTTTGAGCACCACAAAAGGGGTTTTATTGGAAAGCCTCGCGCAAGGAATCCTTTGGAAAGCACCACAAAGGGATTCTATTGGAAAGCCTCACAAAAGGAATCCTTTGGAAAACATCACAAAGGAATTGCATTGGAAAGCCTACAAAAAGGATCCTTTGGAAAGCACCACCAAGGAATTCCATTGGAAAGCCTCGCAACATGAATCCTTTGGAAAGCACCGCAAAGGGATTCTATTGGAAAGCCGCACACATGGAATCCTTTGGAGAGCACCGCAGCGGGATTCGATTGGAAAGCCTCATTGAAGGAATCCTTTGGAAAGCACCACAAAGGAATTCTATTGGAAAGCCTCACAGCAGGAATCCGCTGGAAAGCACCACACAGGGATTTTATTGGAAAGCCTCACAGCAGGAATCCTTTGAGCACCACAAAGGGATTCTATGGGAAAGCCTCACACAAAGAATCCTGTGGAAAGCACCACAAAGGAATTCGATTGGAAAGCCTCATTGAAGGAATCCTTTGGAAAGCACCACAAAAGGGGTTCTATTGGAAAGCCGCACCTGCGGCGCCTTCTTCTCCTCCCTCTTTTTCTCGTTGTAGCGGCGGCTCCTCTCTCGCTTCCGCTCGAAAGCCTCAGTGCCTGGCTTTGGGTTCCCCATTGCTGGGGAAAAAAGCAGGGAGTGGCGCAGCGAGCTGCTTGAGCCTCGGTCGGGGCGCAGCGTGCTAGCTGGCGTTAGCTGCCCCCTCCTCCTCCTCCTCCTCCTCCTCCTTCTCCTCCTCCTCTTCCTCCTCCTCCTCCTGCCCCTCCCCCTCCTCTCCCCCCCCTCCTCCTCCTCCTCCTCCTCCTCCTCCTTCCGTAGCCATTTTGGCTCAAGTTCGAAACGCTCCCCTGGCGCTTCGAGCTTGGTCGCTGCCGAGGGGACGGCTCAGAGCGGCCTTCTTGCGAGGATAGGCCTCGCGGCATAGGAGCTTCAGTGCCCGTGCCTTTTGTCCGCATTTTGCGACATCCGATCCACTCTCTGTTTTCATCTTCCGTGCCGTGTGAGGCACCTTCCCGCTGCAATGGGTCGCAAAGGTGTCAAGAAAGCTGTGGGAGACGACAACCGCCGTGCCCGAGAGGAGCGCAGCCAGAGTCGTCGAAGTCTTCGCCATCGGTCGAGTTCACACTCCGAGTCAGAGAGTCGCTGGTCTCCGAGCCGCCGATCCCGCAGTCGCAGCCGTGGCGCTCGCAGTGATGGCATGTCTGACAGATCATCGAACCACCACTGTGCAGTGGATCGTCGAAGCGAAGATCATCATAGTGAGGTTCATCATGGTTACAGCGGCTCTGCATCCAGTGGCTCCAATGGTGGCATTTCTCCAGATGTCATGGCTGAGTTGCGATCGATGATGGGAGGTATTGAGGCGAACATCACCAGGTCCATCGACTCGTCGACGGCCGCGTTGCAGGTTCAGCTGGTAGCTCATGAGGCATCGATCATTGCGTTAGATTCGCGTGTTGAGACGGCCCAGTCCACCCTGCAGCAGCACCAGTCGCAGATCGAGCAGCTTGGCGCCCACATCCAGGCTGTATCTCAGTTGGCCTCGCAAGCATCTTCAGGAGCTTCATCGGCTGCGTCATCTTCTTCTACCCCGACTGGAGGTGGCCGTGGAGGTGGTGATGGCAATCGTGGTCGTGGCCAACAAGTCGGTACTAATCCACTAGTGCGCTTCATTGGAACCTTTCCTCGGCCTGTACATAAGAATGTTCGTGAGGCGCATTACCGACAAGTGATGAATGCGCTCCCGCATCTCCTTCAAGATGCAGAACCAGTCTTTCATGCTGTGGCTCAGAATTATAAGGTTGTATTTCGCACACTAGCGTCTGCCAAGCAGTTCAGTGAGAATGTCAACGCGTCCGCCCTGCAGTGGATAGACCCCCGTAATGGGTCAGCCCACTCACTGAGCGTGCGACATGACTTGCCGATTGACGTGCGGGACCGCCAACGCACGATAAGCCGCATCTGCCAGCCGATATTAGATTTACTTCGCGGTCATCAGTCGTGGACTCCCGAATGTAAGCTTGGGGTGAATGGATTCAAAGGTGAGATGATGATCGTCGCGCCTCAGGATGTGTTCATCACCGTGAAATTGCTGAAGAGGAGCGAATCCACTGAAGAGTTCTATGCCGTTCAGGAGGAGCTGAATCTGTGGGGCATCACTGCCGAGCAGATACAGCAGATCTTCAATGTCGCACACCAGGCGAGCCGCATTGAGAGCTACCTGTAGGATCCTCCCGCGAGGCAGTCCCGTGAGCGCCGCGCCGTCTCTTGCCCGCCTCCTCCGCTGCGGGAGAGCGAGCATCCCCAGCAGGATGCGTTTCGCTCGAGCAGAGGACGGCTGCCCGTGAGTAGTCTCTTGCAGAGGGAGAGCCCAGATCATCGCTCGAGCGATGCTCAGCGCTCGTGCAAGGAGGCCAGCGAGGGCCCCGACGGTGTCTGCTCTGACACTTTTTTCGCTTCCCCAGCTCGCTCTCGGCTTTGCAAGTATGTGCCAGGTCCGTGTCCCCCTCCTCTCTCGTCTCATCCATACGTTCCTGATTGTTCTCTTGGCATCTGCAGTTGGAATATTCAGACTGTCATCGGCCCTGTCCATTCGAACCAATCCAGCTTCCGATCTAAGCTGACTCATATCCGTTCCTTGCTCAGTAAGTTCCAGGCTCTCGGGGTCCAGGAGTCTCACGGTGGCGAGGGTGATATCGTACATTTCCAGAGAGAAGTTCGGACACACCAGGTTTTCAGCAGTTTCTGTGAGTCTCCTTCCGCAGGTGGCAATATTCTTCTTGTTTCTCGCGAGTTTCTCCGCAGCTGGTCTCAGTACGAATTTGTGGCAGTGGTGCCTGGGCGCATCTCTTTGCCGCGCATGTCCTCCGAGAAGGGCAACTTGCAGTTCCTCAACCTCCGCCTCGATCCTGAGTGGGGCACCAATGAGCTCAGAGGTGTGTTTACGAAGATCAAGAAAGCGCTTCGGAAGCCAGATGTTGTCACGAGCTTCGTTTTCGGGGACTTTAACTTCTTGGAGGTCGGGGAGTCCAGGGTGAATGCTTCCGCGGGCCTTGATGGGCCCAGCACCAGCCGTGTGGCCTCGCTGTTTACGTCTGCGTTTCCGTATTTGGCTGAAGTTTCTCAGGAAGACGATACTCACCGTCTGCTGCGTGATGAAATGTGGTCTTACGGTTGGTTAGACCGCCTTTACTGTTCCCTGCCCACTCAGGACATTCTCGACCTGTGTCCGAGAACGGGTGTAGTCTGGCCTGCCTCCGATTTAGCCAAACCTTCGGACCGCGTTCCCGTGTTTCTGAAGCTTGTGCCGTGGGGGCCCCAGTGTCCATCCCCGATCCCTGTTTGGGTGGCTAATCATCGCGTATTTCAGGAAGTGGTCCAGGACCTTATCGTGCCGGAGGAGTTAGGCCAGAACTTAGACGAGCAGTTGCAGGGCATCAAAGATGTCTTCTATTACGCTGCTGGGCGCGTCAAGGCCCACATTGCTAGTCAAGGAGCTGAGTCGCTTGAGGAACGAGTATCTTGTTGCTTAAAATTAGCTCGGGCCGCTCGTAGAGGACGTTTTCACAGTGCCAAGAAAGCGATCTCTGGTTATCCTGTATTGGGGGGGTTTTATGATTTGGAGTTGAATATCTGGTCTGACCGCGGGGCATTCGATTTGCACCTGGGGATATTGATGGGAGATATACGTTCCAAGCGCGAAGCGGCGCTATGCTCTGTTGTTGAGAAGTCCAAGGCGGACATCGCCGAGGCTAAGTGCTCTGCTGCTGTACAGCGTATTCGTGATATGTCTCGTGATTGGCGGTCATGTGGCCGCAGGATTTGTTTGCAGCAGGTCACTGACGTTGATGGCCAGCATTACTCTGATGGTCGGAGGTGCGCCGAGATTCTTGCCTCGTGCTGGGAGTCGGTCTTCCAATATGTCCAGGCTTGTGAGGAAAGTATGGAGGATTTGTGTTCTGAGATCATCCCGATCCCCTCCCACCCGTTCCACTACCAGGCCAGAGATTTAGCATTGTATCCTTGGGTGGCCCCTGAGAGCAAATTTCCAGATATTATCTCTTGGAAGAATAACACTGCCCCAGGGCCTGATGGAGTACCTTATGCTGCTTGGAAATCGGCTGGCGATTCGGCTCAGCATGTTCTGTGCGAAATCTACTTGAGGATGATTCAGACTGGGCGCCTCCCTCCTGATTTTAACGTTGCTAGAGGTGTGTTTCTGCCTAAGGACTGTCCAGGCGGTATTGATACCGCTGTCCGTACGCCAGCGTGCGCGAGGCCCCTATCATTATCGAACTCTGACAACAAGATTGTCACCAGCTGCGTCGGCTTTGCAGTCTCAGAGGTTGTGAAGGACACCGCTGAGGATTGCCAGAAGGGTTTCGTTGAGGGCCGACAGCTTCTGGGCAATGTGTTTTCCCTGGACGCTGCGTTTTTGAAGTGGGCCATGATGGACGTTTCCCCTCGGATTGGATCGGAGCTTTTTGGTGTAAAAAACGCTTTCCCCAGTGTCATTCACAAGTATATTTGGGCTGTCTTACGGCGCGTTAATCTTCCTCGGAATATTCGTCGGGCAATCAAGGCGTTGCATTCGGATATGCGTATGAGTATATGTATTCACGGCCGCGATCCTGTATATATTGCGGTGGGAAGGGGTGTGAAGCAAGGCTGCCCCATTTCTGGATTGATTTTCTGTTTATGTATCAACCCGATTTTGACAAGAATGCGTAAAAGATGTTCAAGTCTGCCCATCGAGATGGGTGCCTTCGCCGACGACATAGGCATATGCTGTCGTGATGTGCTCCAGAGCCTCCCGACGATCCTGAGAGTGCTCTCTGACGGTGGCAAAGCTTCTGGCCTCATTTCGAACCTTGCCAAGTGCGTGCTGGTGATTCCGTCGCCCGCCTTTCGTGAATCTGTAGTTGCTGACCTTCGGAGAGTGGGTGTGAATATTCGTCAATTTAAGATTATCAGGAATGGGAAGTATTTGGGTGTGTACTTGGGCATCGAGGAGAGGGAGGAGAGTTGGAAGCAGGTTATTACTACGCTGGGGAGGAGGACATTGCAAGTGAAGCAGATGGGAGGAGGATTATCTTTTAGCGTCTCCGCATGCAACATTTATGTGCTGCCCGTCGCGAGCCACGTGTCGCAGGTCTGGGATCCTCCAAAATCTGTCCGCCTTGCTGAAAAGAACATTCTCCAGGGGCTCACCTGTTCCCCGAGGTTTGCGTTTCCGCCTGGGACCCTGCATCAGCTCAAAGATTTAGGCCACCGTGTGGAGGCACGGAGGCTGGAGATCTATGCCCGCGCCTGCACGTTACGTTCCGCCATCAGCTCTGACAAGCTCCATGATCTGAAAAATGAATTAAAGGAGTATGCAGACTCGGACGACGTTGTGATCGCATGGAGGTATAGCCCCTATGCGAAACATTCCCTCTTCCTACGCATCGGGGACCTGTATAATCAGTTCTTCCAGATTCACCGCCCCTTGAACTGCAAGCCCAAGGCTGTTCAGGCTCGGGTGACCAAGATGTTGCTCATGAATCAGCAGCGTGAGTTTCCCAGTGTCCAGGACGTTATTTTCCCAAGGCTGAAAAATGGGTCCCTGATATTGTGCCCGCCGGTGTGTTTCTGACGGTTATTCGTATTGGTGTTGTTGATTCCAAACTTCCTGGATATATTTTATCGGCGTGTTTGAAGTCCATATTTAATGGATGGAATACCACTCGGCGGTATAGGCAGGCGGTGCAGGTGTGTGGATTCGGCTGTTACGCCGTGAACGGAGACGACCTGCTCCATTATTCGATATGCCCTGTCCTGGTCCAGAGTATTCGGAGTGTTCTTCCTTGGCTTCCTGAATGTTGGGGCGATCGGCCTCTGAGTTCCATCCTCCCTCATCTCTTCCTTGCCCCGTCCTGTGAGTGCCTGCTGTCACAATTCGTCGCGGTGGATCTTATGCATAATTGTTTTCAGATTTTTCGGGCTTCTCCCTCTGTATGTACCACTCCTGTCTATACCTTGTCTCTTGTGAAGGCCAGATTGCGCGTTGGTGCGAGACGGAGCAAGGTCATTCAGGCCCTGGGGCGGGGTGCTTTGATTTCCTAGGGCAATGGCCTTGTTTAACTTAGATCCTTTTGTTTTGTGCATGTCCTTTGAATTGTCTGTGCCACCCTGATTCGTCCTTGTGTCGGTTGTTGTCGCCCACGCGCGCGGCGGCGGCCGCCGTCGCCGTGGCGGCCACGGTGTTCACCGAGGACCGCCCCGCGTGCGTGCTCGCGCGCGGGCTGGGCGGGGTGCTGGACGTCGGACCTCTCTCTCCCCCTCTTCGGTGGGTGAGCTCCTCCTCCTCCTCCTCCTCCTCCTCCTCCCCCTTCTCCTCCTCCTACTCCTCCTCCTACTCCTCCTCATCCTTCCTCTTCCGCCTCCTCCTCCTCCTCTTCCCCCCCCTCCTCCTCCCTCCTCCTCTTCCTCCTCCTCCTCCTCCTCCTCCTCCTCCTCCTCCTCCTCCTCCCCCTCCCCCTCCTCCTCCTCCTCGTCCTCCTCTTCCTCCTCCTCCTCCTTCCACAGCGGCAAGGAAAACCAAAGAAAACCAAAGGAAAAACCAAACGAACAAAGAAACCAAAGGGGTGGAGCCGAAAAACACAGAAACACCTAAGGAAAACATCCAAACAACAAAACAACCAAAGATTCGCAGACCTACACTTCCCACCCCTACGCTCCACCGAGAAGGGTGCCTGATTTTTTTTTTTTGGGGGGGTCCTTAGGTTGTTGCTTAGTTTTCAATTCCAAGCCTTTGGTTTCTTTTTTTGTTTGTTTTTTCCTCTGGTTTTTGTTATTATTCTGATGCACACCTGTTATTTCCTTGGGTTTTCTTTTGTTTTCCCTGCCGCTGTGGGAGGATGGAGGAGGGGAAGGGGGGATGAAGGCGGATGGGGAGGGAGGGGAAATGAAGAGGAGGAGGAAGAGGAGGAGGAGGAGGAGGAGGAGGAGGAAAAGGGGGAGGAGGAAGAGGAAGAAAAGGGGACGGAGGAACATAATGAGGAGGAGGAGGAGGAGGATAGCAGAGGTTTCGCTGGTTCAAGCCCGCTTTCATTTTCCAGGGGGCCCCCTTTCACCCCGAAGCCAAAAATAGATTCAGGACGTTTGTCAACCGGCGTTTTTTCCCTCGGATTTCGGCCCTCGGGGGCCGTTGTTGGGACTTGGGACCATCAAAAACGGACCAGGGACGAAACATTGCACCTGGGGGAATGGGCAGGGACCTTCCTGGGGCCGCGGATTTAACAAAATCATGTCGGAGGATGTCTGGGGGTATGGGTACGGGTCAGGGGTTCTTGTGATTCTGGGCTGGTGCGGAAGTAGTTGTTAATGCGTTCGGGTTGGGTGGGAATTCAGAACACGTCTCATCGGCCATACTTACTCATGCCCGTATACGCCCTTCAGACAGACAGACGCCAGCACCAGTCTTGTCAATACAACAAAGCCGCATCGTTTCTGTCGGAAGGTAGGGCCAGCAAGTCGTTGAACAGCACAATGTGCGAGTCGGGGATTTCTCGGAGGGGCCCGCGCCATTTACAATTGCTAGTGGGGCAGGGGGTTAAACGGTTTTTACCAAGCAGAATTCATTTCAGGATCGATTACTCTAATCTTGTCGGCTCGCCGCCACTTCGTTTCTGCGGGAGGCCCTCGGTCACCCATTTGTGCTGACTCGGTATCACTTGCGTCAGTTCATCCATGTATCCGCCTGTGCGTCGGGCTGCCCTGCCTTCTCTTACCCGTTCTTATCGTCTCCCCCTCCGGTCGGAAGTGCAGTCGCGGTGCCCTCGGAGCTTCCCCTTCTTATGCGCATCCTCGCATCGCAGGCCGAGGCGACGACGACAACGACGACGACGACGGCGACTTTAGCCCGACGCTGCTGCAGCCGAGCAGGACGGGCAGGCTTGGCCGGGAGAGAGGTGGCCCCCTCCCCCTCTTCCTCCCCCTCCTCCCCCTCCTCCTCCTCCTCCTCTTCCTCCTCCTCTTCGTCCTCCCTCCTCCTCCTCCTCCTCCTCCTCCTCCTCCTCCTCCTCCTCCTCCTCCTCCTTGCGCGCGGCCTGGAGGCCTCCACTCCGCCGTCCAAGAAGCGGGCCTCGGCGGCGCTCGGCGACGGCGCGACCGGCGCTGGCGCCGGCTCACTGGCTGGCCTTCCACAGCCCTTGCGCCAGGCAGCAGCGGAGGAGGAGGAGGAGGAGGAGGAGGAGGAGGAGGAGGAGGCGAAGGAGGAGGAGGAGGAGGGAGGAGGAGGAGGAGGAGGAGGAGGAGGAGGAGGAGGGAGGAGAGGAGAGGAGGAGGAGAGGGAGGAGGAGCAGCAGGAGTGGGCAGAGAGCAGCGTGGAAGATGGGGCAGATGACGGGGCAAGGGGTGATGATGAGGAGGAGCAGGAGGAGCAGCAGCAGGAGGAGGAGGAGGAGGAGGAGGAAGAGCGGAGAAAAAGTAGAGAGGCAGAACGAGGACGAGACGGAGGAGGAGACGGAGGAGGAGGAGGAGGAGGAGGAGGAGGAGGAGGAGACGGTCGGAGTTAGAGACAAAGTAGGAGGCGGAGGAGGACGAGGTTGCCCAGGAGGACGACGAGGATGAAACGAGGATGAAACGAGGATGAGGAGCAGGAGGAGGAGGAGGAGGAGGAGGAGGAGGAGGAGGAGGAGATGGAGAAGGAATAGGACGCCGACAATGATCAAGGAAGGAAAAGTCATCCCGACCCGAGGAAACACCATCCCGACCCTAATAATTGGCGTTTATTGATCAACTTCCGGCGTCTACTAAACAGCCCTGCTCTGTTGGATTCCTTCCTTGGGTGCGTTTACTAGACTGCTTTGCCCGTCGGGTTGCCGGTTATGACGGTGGTTCTTCTGCCTTCTCAATGATCAGGAGGACAAGGAGGACAATTGGGTGGAGTGAGGATGGAGCAGCGAGGTGGGAAGAGCGAGGAGGGTGAGGGTTGGAGGGGGGAAGAGGGACGGGGAGAGTGGAGCGAGGAGCGAGATTTTGACACCAATTTGGCGGAGCTGAGTTGAGAGGGGGGATGGAGAAGGGAGGGCGGAAGAGGGACGAGGAAGGACGGGAGGAGGGAGAGGAGAGAGGGAGAAGGGGGATGGGATGGAGGTTGGAGGAGGGGAGCGTGAGGAGGGAGGAGGGATGGTGGATGAGGAGGATGGATGTATGAAGGGATGGGGAGAATTGGACGAGGAAGGAAAGACAGAGAATGAACGGATGCATGAGTGGATTGTTGAATGAATTGGCGGACATACTGACGATCAGACTCATTTTGATTGACGGACCGACGGAGAGATAGTGCAACAATTCTGGCTGCCAGCGTGGACCCAACACAAAGGGCTCTTGCATTTTCGTTGTGTACAGTACTGTACAGCCTACGTAGAGGAAGGAGGAGGACGAGGCAGGACGAGGAGGTGGAGGAGTAGGAGGAGGAGGACGAGGAAGGAGGAATGAGGAGGACGAGGAATAAGGAAGAGAAGGACGAGGAGGAGGAGGAGGAGGAGGACCAGCGTAAACCCAAGACGCATCAACGATGTTGCAATTACCTCCTCTACCATCTCCGAGCTCCCTCTTCAGAGGCTGCTACAAGGATTTCTTTTCATTGCGGGAAGTGCCCCATTGGAAGACCCCCGAAGCGCGCAGCTTCTCATGCGAGGCCATGGCCTCACCCGCCTCTCGCTTAAGGGGCCCGGGTTCATGCCCGCACAGGCGTTCCGTTCCGTTCCGTCCCGCCCCATTGGAAGACAATCGATTGAGAGTCTTCAACCGTGCCAAAACACCGTTCTTGGGAATTTAACGCCGCGGATCAAGATGACTGTTACGTCCTGACAATTCTAATCGTACCGGTCCACCGTTCCTGGCATTTCAACATCGCGAATCAACGTTGATGTCGCGACTTGACCATCCTAAGTCGTGGCAGAAGACCATCCCTCGGATTCCGACCGTACGAATCTTTGAAACTGCTGCAACATTTTGAATCGAACGTTGGCGTCGCAAATGTGAGAGGCACATTTAAACACGGTCCGCCTTCCATCCGTGAAATTGCTGCAACCTTTCAAAACGAAAAGGACGTGTCGTGCATCCGTGAAACTGCTGCAAGCTTTTAGAATGAATGTACGCGGCGCAATTGCGAGAGCCACATTTCGTAAAGGACCTGCCCTCCCATCTGTAAAACTGTTGCAACCTTCAAGCTTCGGTGTCATTCATGGCGAGGACCTCTCAGGCGAAACGCCCCGCCAGCCCTATGGACACGTCTGGGTGTGCGACAGGCAGGGGTCATTTACAAGGCTGGCGGATGGAGGAATGAGGAGGAGGAGGAGCAGCAGGAACGAGTAGCAGGAGAAGGAGGGGAGGAGGAGCAGCAGGAGGAGGAGGAGGAGCAGGAGCAGGAGCAGGAGGAGGAGGAGGAGGAGGAGGAGGAGGAGCAGGATGAGGAGGAGGAGGAGGAGGAGGAGGAGGAGGAGGAAGAGGGTCTCTTCGAGCGGCGGCCGCCTCGCTGGCCAGGCGCCGCACTTCATGTCCGAGGCCCGCCGCCCCGCCTCTCCGCGCGCCGGCGTGGATGTCCGCCTCGCTGTGGCCAGCACGCTGCGCGGGAGGGGCAGGAGGAGAGGGAGGAGGAGGAGGAGGAGGAGCGAGGAGCGAGGAGCGAGGAGGAGGAGGAGGAGGAGGAGGAGGAGTTGGAGGAGGAGAAGGAGGAGGAGGAGGAGGAGGAGGAGGAGGGGGAGGAGAGGTCGCAGGAGGAGGAACGAGGAGCGAGGAGGAGGAGCGAGTAGCGAGGAGCAAGGAGGAGGAGGAGGAGGAAGAGGAGGAGGAGGAGGGGGAGGAGGAGCTGGTGTTGTTGCCCCCATCCGCGCGCCCTCCCGATCCCAAATGTATGTGCTCCACCTCTTTAGTGGGTCTCGGCGTAATGGAGATATGCAGTATTGGATTGAGCAACACCTGGATTAGTTTCCAGCCTCTATCACTGTACTCAGCATAGACGTGATCAATGACCCCGTTTTCGGGGATCTCACGCTCTCCGATTCCATACGCTTATGGACACATCTGGTCCGAAGTGGCTTCGATTGTACTGTCCTGGAGGGGGGCCCCCATGTGAGACCTAGTCCGTGGCCAGGCACCGGGATCTTGGGTCTCGCCCAGACGAGCAGCGCAGCAAACCCCCCAGGCCTCTAAGATCCAAAGCTGAGCTCCAGGGCCTCAAGCACATCTCGGACAAGGAGTTTCGTCAGCTATCCTTGGGGAGCAAGCTTTTAAGGACCACGCTGGAGTTTGCGACCCTTCGTTGGAGGCTTCAGGTGCTCATTATCATGGAGCACCCCGCGGAGCCCTGGGCCCCCGAAGAAGCCCCCAGCTCGTGGCACCTACCTTTGCTTCAACGCTTGTACTCTCAGAACGACGTACATATATCACAATTCATCGATGTGCCTTCGGCGCTCCGTCTCGCAAACCCACGAACCTCTTGGCGATTCATTGTGCTGCCCTTTACGACGCTCTGCACGCTGAACCTGGAAGTTCTCGTTGTCGGCACCCTGCTGGACACGTAGCCCTTGAGGGCTGGGACCTATCTGGGAAGTGGGCGGCAGCACAAAGCAAATGCTACCCCTCCGACATGTGCAAGTTTCTCGGGTTGGCCTTTATTCAGGAAGCATGGCTTCGGTTCCCCTGGGTCTTTTTCGGCTCGGGTCCCGTGCATCCAAGGAGGCGGCTTCGTGGAAAGCAGCCGTCCCTTCTACCTGGTCCCGTCGGCTCCAGAGTGCCCGCTAGGGCCCAATTGGACCTTCTGGCCACCAAAACCCTTGAATGGTCTCTGGACGATGAACTCACACTCCAACGCCAGCACTTGGGCACGCCTCAGATGGCTGGCTACCAACACCACCACGGAAATATTATAGACCTTTCGATCCCTACCTTGGAGTTGGGGCTCCGAACTTGGGAATGGATTGCATGTATCACACGCGTCTGTGACCACCGGCTCCACCAACTGGATCCTACCTGGTTTGGGACGGAGGAATGGTACTCGTCACTACAGGGGCCATGTCGTCTGCTGCTGCTCCTCTCGTGCTCCCTGCCCTCACGCATGCAATCCGAGCTACCAGTGTGTATTCTTTAGGCACTCGACCTTGGGGGAAGGGCCTCGGGGTGAAGGTTCACGCCGCCAAAGCAGCCATTGCTTTCTTTCACATTGAAAAACGGTAGCCCCCCGGTGCCGTGCGCATGTGTGCTCGGCTCGTCTTTGACAGTACCCCGTCGGCTGTGGGAAGGACTCCGCTTTTCCACTTGTCTCGCTCCTTTCCTTTTCTGCCGTTCTGCGCCCTAGGTAGGCGGTACCACACTTGTGCCTACCGCCTCGCTCGCTGCACGTGTGCGCCGCACGTTACAGGGCCGAGCAGCGGGCGGTGCGGGTGACTGCTCCCCGCGGCTGCCGCTGGTCGCCTTCCTGTCCCCGCTCTGTCTCGTCTCGTTCTCATCTGGGCTTCAACCGTCCACCCGAAGGAGGAAGAAGAAGAAGAAGAAGAAAAAGAGAAGAGGAGTTGGTGGAGGTGGAGGTTGCGGAGGAGGTGGTGGAGGAGGTGCAGGGAGGTGGATGAGGAGGAGGACGAGGTGGAAGAGGTCCAGGGAGCAGGAAGTGGAGGAGGAGGAAGAGGTTGCGGAATTATTGGGATTATAGCCATCGCGTAGCGATATCCTACCATGTCATACTACAACGCACGTGACCTGAGCTCGCGGAGCACCGAGACGACATGGATGAGCACACCAGAAGACGAACTCCACGAAATATCACGTCTGACACATACAATCCCCAGTATACGTAGAGCGAATGCGAAATATCAGGGCCCAACCAGGAAATCTTGCAAGCAGCACAACGCAGACATGGAAGCCACCACCAAGCAACAGACATTGTGAAATGTCACGGCCCACCACTTAGAAACCACTTAGGAACAGCATTGACATACGACTCGGGGGAAGCCTTTCACCTTACACCTGATTGGACGTACCTCATGCTCCTCCTCGATTTTCCGCACGTGGGATAAGTCTCTGGAGCGTGGAGCAAGATTGAGATAGCTCCGCCCGTGAGCAACACATGCAGAACAAGTGCGAGACACCTCGAGCAGCAAACTGAAGGTGAGAAAACCACTGCTCACGGTTGGCTCCGACCCGAAACCACCAGTACCGCCACGCGGATGAAGATGGTAATAGTGATGTGGTACTGAACGAGGCGTGGAAATGCAGGCATGCGCTTCAAACCCGAAGGGTATCCCTCGAGCGCAATAAATACAACCCCATACCACATTCAGCATTTTGAAAGCTGGACTCAACGAATTCGTCCAGTCTCGCCATCCGACAGTTGCTGCAAAGACAGCCGCGGCAGGAATCGGAGACCCCCAAGCGCCACGTGAAGGCACTGGACGCGACATGGGGCCCACCGCAAAGCAAAATGCTACGGATGGGGCTCGAGCCGGATGTGCTCGAGCCAAAACGGCTACGGACTGGAGGAGGTTGAGGAGGTGGAGGAGGAGGAGGAGGAGGAGGAGGAGGAGGAGGAGGAGGAGGGGGAGGAGCGCTGGAGGAGGATGAGGAGGAGGAGGAAGGAGAAGGAGGAGGAGTAGCAGGGAGGAGGAGCAGTGAGGGAGGAGAGGAGGAGGTGGAGGAGGAGGAGGTGGAGGAGAACGCTGGAGGAGGAGGGGATGAAGAGGAGGAGGGGGAGGAGGTGGAGGTAATGTATGAGGACGAGGTTGAGGTGGAGTAGGATCTTAGTGAGTTTAAAGAGTAGAAGAGGAGGAGGAGTAGAGGAGGAGGAGAAGGAAGGAGAGAGGATGAGGACGACGACGAATAGGAGGAGGAGGAGAGGAGGAGGAGGAGGAGGAGGAGGAGGAAGGAGGAGCAGGAGGAGCAGGAGGAGGAGGAGCGAGGGAGGGAGGGAGGGAGGAGGGAGGAGGAGGAGGAGGAGGGGGGAGGAGCGCTGGAGGAGGATGAGGAGGAGGGGAAGAGGGAGGGGGAGCAGGGAGGAGGAGGAGTGAGGAGGAGGAGGAGGAGGAGGAGGAGGAGGAGGAGGAGGTGGAGAGGAGCGCTGGAGGAGGAGGGGAGATGAAGGAGGAGGGGAGGAGGCAGGTAATGTATGAGGACGAGGTTGAGGTGGAGTAGGATCTTAGTGAGTTTAAAAAAGAAAAGAGGAGTGAGGAGGAGGAGGAGGAGAGGAGGAGAGAGGAGGAGGAGGAGGAGGAGGAGGAGGAAGGAGTAGGAGGAGGAAGAGGAGAAGGAGGAGGAGGAGGAGGAGGAGGAGGAGGAGGAGAGGAGGAGGAGGAGGAGCAGGAGGAGGGAGGAGCAGGAGGAGGAGGAGGAGGAGGAGGAGGAAGGAGGAGCGAGGGAGGAGGAGGAGCGAGGGAGGAGGAGGAGGAGGAGAGAGGAGGAGGAGAGAGGAGGAGGAGGAGGAGGGAGGAGAAGGTGGAGGTGGAGGTGGAAGGGGTGGAGGAGGAGGGAGGGGGAGGGGAGGGGGGCGGGGGGCAGGCGGCCTAGAGTGCCACCAGGCTGGAAGTGCAGCCCCCGCCCGCTGCCTGAAGTGTGCGCGCGGTCATGTGCTTCAGGCCGGCAGCCAGGATGCATGAGCAGCACGGAAGCAGGTTTTTTACGGTGCCCGTGCTGCTTTGAGCGGGACAGTTGGCCGCAGTCTGGGCACGACGCTTCCGAGTTCAACCAACTGTGGCTTTGTCTCTTCTCCTGCCTTACCTCGCCGCTGATCCCCACTTGATCCAGGGGATGTTACGTGCCAAGCGTCGTTGCCCTTAGTGATCAGGCCCCCTGATTTGCAGCCGCGGCTGACGGGGGAGCTGCAGCTGGATCAGGAGGAGGAGGAGGAGGAGGAGGAGGAGGAGGAGGAGGCAAGCTAGGTCCGCTCGCGTCATATCTGATGTCCTACCCCTCCCTCCCATCCCTTACCATGGCGTAGATCATCTCTGTATTCGCACAGTCGGATGTCGAGCAGGGCAATGACCGCGAGATGGTGCGCGATGCATCGTAGAGCACGGCATGGCATGGCGTACAAGAGCACGGCAGAGCCTAGAATGTCATAGCATGGCGTGGCATTGCGTAGTGAAGCATTGCATCACAAAGCATTGCAACGCAAAGCATGGCATCGCATAGCAGCGCAAAACAGAACACCGTACAGCATGTCATAGCAGGGCACCAGGCTCCTTGGAGGGTAAGTGGATAATCTTCGAAGGGTCTGGGCCGGTCTAGAGTCGCGGCTCCATGTTTAGCTCCCTGGGTTCCGCGAAAAGCTCCCCACAAGGCGGGGCTGATGGAGAGCACCCGCTGGCTCTGCTTGCAACATCGCCTTCTGAAAGCAGAAACGGGACTCCCGCTTGGTACTTCCTCCAAACGCCGCCGCCCCGAAGTGTGGGGGGGGGGGGCCTTCTGCGGCTCAAAATCTCAACGAATCGGCACCGGATGCGTAATCACTTGCGAAGATTTTTGCTGGGGGTCATTTTCTACATTCGGGGCCGATTTGGAAGGACCGAAAACGCCCGCGCTGCAGCGGGAGCAGGTTTTGGAACAACCAGAGGCGCAGAAATGGGGCCAGCGCTGCAGCGGGAGCAACATTTGGAAGGATCGAAAAGAATCGGATTGCCAAAAACACATATGAAAACCAGAAAATGAGGCCAGCGCTGCAGCGGGAGCACGTCGGAACGAGCGGAAGCACGGAAATGAGGCCAGCGCTGCAGCGAGAGCACGATTCTGAACGAGCGAAGGCCGAAAATGAGGCCAGCGCTTCAGCGGGAACAGCATTTTTCTTGCAAGAAATACAGAGCGAAAGCCCAGTTCCCTGGAATCCTACGTGGAAAAACAGCACGCGGACGGGGGCCAAACATCTTCCGGACGTCATCTAGGGAGAGAGGAGAGTAGTATTCATAGTGTGCAATTGTAGAGTCGAGGAAGGAGGGGGATGATGGGGAAGGGATGATGATGATGAGGACGAGGATGAGCATGAGGATAAGGATGATGATCATGAGGATGTGGATGAGGATGACGATGATGACGATGATGACGATGACGACGATGATGGCGATGATGGCGATGATGCTGATGTTGATGATGATGGTGATGATGATGATGATGGTGGTGATGGTGAGGAGGAGGACCACGATGAATTTGATGATCAAGATGATAATGATGCTAATGATGGTGATGATGATGGTGCTGATAATGCTGACGATGATGATGATGATGATGATGATGATGATGATGATGATGATGATGATGATGGTGCTGATCGTGATGATGTTGATGATGGTAGTGCTGCGCATGATGCTGCTGATGATGCTGAGTATTATGATGCTGGTGATGATGATGCTAATCCTGATGAATGTGATTAGGATGATGTTGGTGATGCTAATGACGATGATACTGATGATGCTGATGATGAAAATGTTGGTGAAGATGATGATAGTGATAAGGATCATTATGATCATGATGATGGTGATGCTGACGATGATGGTAATGCTGATGGTGAAGGTGATGATGATGCTGCTGATGATGGTGATGATGGTGGTCTTGATGGTGATGATGATGCTGTGATGATGCTGATGATGATGACGAGTAGGATGAGGAGGACGAAGGTGAGGATGGCAATGATGATGAGGAGTTGTAGGAGGATGATGATGCTGATGATGATGTTGATGGTGATTGTGATGGTGATGATGATGACGACGACGATGATGATGATGATGACGATGACGATGAGGATGACGATGATGATGATGATGATGATGATGATGATGATGATGATGATGATGTTGATAATGATTATGATGATGTTGATGATGAGTGTGGTGAAGATGATGGTGGTAAGGGTGGTGGCGGTGGTGCTGGTGATGATGGTAATGGTGGTGGTCATGGTAATGGTCGTGGTGATGTTTGGTGATGCTGATGATGCTGATGATGCTGATGATGCTGATGATGATGGTGATGATGGTGATGATGGTGATGATGATGATGATGATGATGATGATGATGATGATGATGATGATGATGATGATGATGATGATGGTGGTGGTGGTGGTGGTGGTGGTGGTGGTGGTGAGGAGGAGGAGGAGGAGGAGGAGGAGGAGAGAGAGAGAGGAGGAGAAGGGGGAGGAGGAGGAGGAGGAGAGGAGGAGGAGGAGGAGGAGGAGGACGAGGACGAGGAAGAGGAGGAGGACGAGGAGGAGGAGAAGGAGGAGCAGCGGCACGAGCAACAGCGAACAACAGGAGGAAGAGGAGGAAGAGTAGGAGGAGGAGGTGGGCGTCACCAACGTCGACGACGATGGAGGAGGGATGGAGCGGCGAGGAGGAGGGAGCTGGGAGGAGGAGGAGGAGGAGGAGGAGGAGGAGGAGGAGGAGGAGGCGGAGGAGAGGAGGAGGGAGTAGGGAGGAGGTAGGAGAAGGAGGGAGGACCAGGAGGACACGGAGGACCAGGAGGAGGAACATTACAGGAGGGAGCCCCCCCTTCCCTCCCGTCGGCGCAGGACGTTTTCGCGGAGGCCGAGGAGCGGATGCTGCAACTCGGGCTGCCGGGCCGGGCCGCGAGCCGCGGCGAGGCTTCCGTTTGCGCGGGCTGGGGAGAGGGAGGGCCACCATCAGGAAGAGCGAGACAGGGGAGCATGATGATGATGGTGATGATGATGGTGATGATGATGATGATGATGATGATGATGATGATGATGATGATGATGATGACAGCTTGATGATAAGGATGATAATGCTGATGATGATGATGATGCTGATGATGATGATAAGTGTGATGATTGATATGGTGGTGGTGGTGATGATGATGGCGATGCTGACGATGTTGTGATATGATTTGCTGTGGCATGTTACGGCCCGACATAATGTGACATGATACGACTTCGTATGCTATGATCAGACGTGTGATACAATAGTATGGTGTGGTATGATTTGATACGATATAGTATGAAATGATGATGTATGATCTGGTCTGACGATACTGATGCTGCTGCTGATGATGTTGATGTTGACGATGATGATACTGGTATGGCTGGTGATGGTAGTGGTGTTGTTTATGATGATGGTGATGATGCTGGCGATGTTGATACGGCTAATAACGATGCTGATGGTGTTGGTGAGTGTGCTGATGATGACGATGATGCTGCAGCTGCTGCTGCTGCTGCTGCTGCTGCTGCTGATGATGATGATGATGATGATGATGATGATGATGATGATGATGATGATGATGATGATGATGATGATTGTGGTGGTGGTGATCATGATGATGGTGATGGTGATGATGATGAGGAGGAGGAAGAGGAGGAGGAACAGGAGGAGGAGGATGAAGAGTAGGAGGAGGAGGAGGAGGAGGGCGACGACGACGAGGGGGAGGATGGGGGGAGGGTGGGGACGACGACGTCGACGACGACGACTGAGGATTGAGGTTCCAGGATCGAAGCTCGAGGAGGTTGTTGGACGCTTAGGGGTCGTCTTGGCGGGGCCCTGGAGTGCTCTGGTGGGCCCACCTCCTGGAGGAAATGGCGCTTCCTCAGGGAGAGAGGTGGGCCGTGGAGGTAGGGGTGGTGAAGGGGGAGGGAGGGGAGGTGGAGGGGGAGGCGAGAGAGGAGAGAGGTGCGTCGTGGAGGGAGGGGCGGTGGAGGTGGAGGCGAGAGAGGAGAGAGTTGCGTCGTGGAGGGAGGGGAGGAGTCATCCGACGGTATGATTTGTTCAGTCACGTTCAGCGCCCGTTTTTTTTGCGTGCGCTCGTCGCGCAGGTCGAGGTCACCAGGACGTGGGTGCTAGACGCTAGACCGAGCTTGGAGCTGGGGGGAGGGTGGGGGGCACGCGCGGGCATAGACGGTTCGACTGGGCGATAAAGGAATTGAGCTCAAGACGATGCGTCTGAGGAGAGAGACAGCAGGGACAGAAACGAGAACGTCAACGCCGCCCTGTGATTTGGGCGGTGACGTTGTGGATTTTCATAACAAGAGCTGCGTGTGTGTGTGTGTTTATGTGTTTGTGTTTGTGTGCGTGTTGCAATGCTGATATCTGATATTATGGGTGCACCGGTATGGTCAGCGAGTATCGTTTGGGTGCGGACTGCGATCATGACAATGGTAATGTTGTCGGCTGCGGCAGTGTCCGCAATACAGATGTGGGTCATTCCGTAGGTAATCGATATTGTAGGCACACGTGTGGCTGCAATTGTTAGACAAGAAGAAACGAGTCGTGGAGATCAGCATGATGCCAGCCAGCAAGGGCAAGCGAGTTTGTGAGGACCAGCGACGCATACTATGGAAACCACGGTGGGCATGGCGTGTTGGGACGAGAGGGAAGAAGGGCATTCAAAGGTTGCTGACTGCGTGAGTACGAAGCTTTCCGAGTCGACTGTTCCTGTGTGGTTCCCTGGCCTCGCTGCGAGGCCGAGCTGAGGCGCAAGCGGTCCGAGCTCGACGAGATGCAGGCCCTTCTCAACGAGAGGGAGCTCGAGATCGACAGGACCTCTGGGCGGGCCATCCCGCTTGGCCAGAGGCTCCCTTCGAAGACAAACAGCTGCATACGCGTACTCTGGAGGCCCGCGCGGATGTCCTGGATCGGCGCTGGGCTCCCCTGGCGGTGCATCCCGCGGTGTCCAGGGCCGATCCAAGCAATCCGAAGGGACCTCGGCAAGGTTAGGTTCATGCAGTTTTGTGCTACCCCGTCCCTGGGACATGGCCGCCGGTCCAGGCTCAAGAGAAGCAGCTCATCCTCCCCCCCCTCTCCTCCCCTCCCCTCCGGGACCCTCTGGGACCACTGCGTTGATCGCCTGGGCGGCAGCTTGTCAGATAAGAATTGCCGCCAAGAGTGTTCAGGCTTCTGGCACGGTGGCGAAGCGCCACGGACGTATTTGATGCTGGGCATGTGCCCGTGCTGGCAGAGGCAAAGTGTGGATTGTCGAAGTGTCGAAATCGCTGGTGAGCGCTCAGAACAAAGCACTGCCATATAATATGTTCTGCAGGATGAACAATATGTTCGTGGCCGGATGTTCGCAAACGGCCCGCCAGCGGTTCGGAACCACCTGCTCGCGAACTCCAGGGCCCATAAGGGCCTTGTCCACGGCCGCTCGGTTGAGGGAGAGATCGGAGAATCTAAACGAGCGGCTCGTAAGCGGTTCGGGAACACGTGCTTGCAAGCAGTGAACAGCGTACGCAAGGGTTTCCCCAGAGTGGCCGATCCCTCCGACGGGGAGTGGTTCGCGGCGGGGGCAGGAGGGGCGCGCCTTGAGGCAGAGGGATGCTCGAGCGTTCGTTCTCAAGTCGTTGTTCAATCACAAGTCATAATGCATTCGTGTACAAGTTTATACATATATATATATATATGAGTATGTATAAAAAAGTACAGATGTCGAGAGCCACTCTCCACAGGCGGAGTGTTTTAGTCCAGCTGTGGCACCGCTGCTGGCTGGCATTCCGCTGCATTCTCCCTATGTTATCCTTCCTCTGCATCTCGCTCTCTTCACTCCTCCTCGTCCTCATCCTCCCCTTCGTTCTCATCCGTCTTTCCTTCCTACTCCCCCTCCGCTTCCTCCCAGGACTTCAAAGGTCACCAACGACGAACGCACAAGGTGGATGTCAAACACACAGCACTGGCAATCAGGAGGAAACCCACGCCAGCGCGGCTAACAGCAGCGCGTCGGCCAGCGCAAACCCTGGGACGACGACTTGACTAGTTACCTTCCGAACATACAGACCCGACATGCATCATCCGCCAACGCCAACCGCTGCAAAAGGCCAACCAGATCACCTAATCTGTGCGTGTTCGGCTCAAGACGTCGTCGCTACGTCGACTATCGAGCGCCGGTACATCGACCCCGCATGACTGTAAGTCGTCGACATCCACATCCAAGGCTTCGTCTTCTTTCTCCTCCGCTTTTTCCTCTTTCTCCTCTTTCTCCTCCTCCTTCTCCTCCTCCTCCTTCTCCTTTTCCTCCTCCTCCTCCTCCTGCTCCTCCTCCTCCTCCCTCCTCCGTCGTAAGTTTTCCGTGCTTCGCAGTTCCGATGCATCTTGGGTTTTCGGCGGGCCCGGCGATTGTCCGGAGAGGTGACTCGTTCGCCCCTCCCCCGCTCCAACTAACCCTGGCCACGGCCACCCCGTCTGGGGACAGCGCGCGGCCAAGATGAGCGGATGCCGGGCCAGTGTGCTGGCCAATGGCCGCTCCCCGCTGCGCCGCGCTTCCTCCTCCTCCTCCTCCTCCTCCTCCTCCTCCTCCTCCTCCTCTCCCTCCTCCTCCTCCTTTCTCCTCCTCCTCCTCCTCCTCCTCCTCCTCACTCCTCCTCCTCCTCCTCCTCCTCCTCCTCCTCCTCCTCCTCCTCCTCCTCCTCCTCCTCCTCCTCCTCCTCCTCCTCCTCCTCCTCCTCTCGCTCCTCCCCCTCCCTCCTCCCTCCTCCCCTCCTCCCTCATCCTCCTCCTCCTCCATCATCAGCATCATCATCACCATCCTCCTCCTCCTCCTCGTCGTCATCATCATCATCATCATCAGCATCATCATCGTCATCATCATCATCAGCATCATCATCACCATTGTTGTTATCCTCAGCATTATCATCATCAACATCATCATCAGCAGCATCATCATCAGTATCATCATCATCGTCGTCATCATCATCAGCATTAGCATCACCATCATCATCCCTGCTGTCTCTCTCTCTCTCTCTATCTATCTTGACAGTCAGGACTGCGTCGTCTGACCTTCTAATATCTCTGCTCTCTTCTCCTCCCCCCACTCCCTCCTCCATTCCCTCCTCCCTCCTCCGTCCAGCTCCCTCCTCCCCCCTCCCCTCCTCCCCTCCCCGTCCCTCCTTTCGTCCCCCTTCCCCCCTTTGCCTCCCCCCCCCCTCGCGTCCCCCCTCCGCCTCGGGAGAGCGATCGGCGGCCCCGTGGGGAAGCGGCCCCCCCGGGGCATCGGCGCCGCCTGCGCTCGGCGACAGCCCGCTCCTCCGCGCCGCGCGCGCCCCGAGGAGGGAGCGGGAGCTCCAGGTCCAGGCGGCCAAGCTCGAGGAACGCCGGGGGGCAGAGGTGGGGGGGTCAAGAGCGGGTCAAGGGGGAGGCGGCATGGGGGGGGGAGGAGGGGGAGGAGGAGGAGGAGGAGGAGGAGGAGGAGGAGGAGGAGGAGGAGGAGGAGGAGGAGGAGGAGGAGGAGGATGATGAGGAGGAGGAGGAGGAGGGGGAGGAGGAGGGGGAGAAGGGAGTGGGTGGAGGAGGAGGAGGAAGGGAAGGAGGAGGGAGGAGGAGGAGAAGGGGAGGGGAGGAGGAGCGAGAGCAGGGAACAATATTATATATATATAGAGAGAGAGAGAGAGAGAGAGATGGAGTAGAGGGGGATAGCGCAGGCAGGAGAGAGCCGGGAGGAGAGCGCAGGGTGGAGGTGCAGGAGTGGCAGGAGGAGGAGGAGAAGAAGGAGGAGACGCAGGAGGCGGAGGGAAATACGTCCCTCGCTTATGCAGCTCGCCTATGCATATTGTACAAGCAGCAGTGGCATGTTTTCGCGCAAGTCCTAGTCCACGTATGGACACCTCCCCCAGGCGGAGGAGGAGGAGGAGGAGGAGGAGGAGGAGGAGGAGGAGCCTTTCTACCCTCAGAAGGAAGTTGCATATTGGTGGCGGAAGGGGGGGGGAAGGAGAAGGGTGACGCGAACGGAAACGCCGCGGACGAGGGCGAGGATGAGGGGGAAGCAGATCATCCTTTCAAGTTGCACGGTGGGCCCTACGTCCGGGTCGCAGTAGCCGCATTCGGTCTCTCGGCAGCTGCGACGGGAAGTCTGCCAGGCCCCCCTGGCGTTCCCAGACTGTCTTCGTCGTCGTCACGTCCCCGTCCTTGGCGTCGGCCTCCTCCCCTCCTTCCCCTTTCTGGATGAGCCCCTTTGGGCACGCTCGACCTCATCTCTTTCACCTTCCTACGTCTATGCATCCCTTCCTCGTTCTCCTGTTACTTTCTATACTGAGCAGACATATACGTATACACACATATCTATATCTATCTCTCTCTCTATATATATATGTGTGTGTCTATAATTTTAACGCCGCTCCCCGCTGCGCCGCGCTTCCTCTTCCTCCTCCTCCTCCTCCTCCTCCTCCTCCTCCTCGTTTAGTCCCTCCTCCTCGTCGCCCCTCTCCACGTCGACGTCGTCCTCCTCCTCTGGCAGGCCGACAGAACCCCCCTAGGAGCGCAGCGGAGAGGGCCCCGCGGCGGCGGAGCGGGCCGCGCTCATGCGGCAGCAGCAGGGCTTCCGGGCAGAGGCCGCGGGGGGGGGGGGGGAGGGCTTCCGGGCAGAGGCCGCGAGGGGGGGGCGCCGGGCTCCCGAGGCCGGGGTGGCAGCCCCAACGAGCGGCGCTCCGAGGATCAAGGAGGGGGCATCGAGGGTCGAGGAGGATGGATCGAGGAGGAGGAGGAGCAGGAGGAGGAGGAGCGTGGAGCGAGGAGCGAGGAGCGAGGAGCGAACATCGAGGATGGGCCGTGGGCCCTTCAGGGCGGACTGGGGGGGGAGGGGCTGGCCGGGCGGGCCGAGCGCTCGAGGACAGGGGCGGAGGCAGGGGAGGGCCCGTGGCCTTGCTGGGCCGTAGCCGCGGGGGGGAGGGAGGGCCGAGCTCTCGAAGGCAGGGGTGGAGGCAGGGGAGGGCCCGTGGCCTCCTCGTGCTCCCCCCCCGCCTCCTCTCGCCGTGAGCGAAAGTCACGACGGGAGGCTGTGGGCCCCTTGCAGCCTCGGGGCTGTCCCCGGCACAACAAGCTGTACCGTCTGTGTTTTGCCGGAAGACTGCGTGTCCTCTGGCTGGCGGTTGGCATGGAGGAGCGAGGGGGAGAGTGCAGGAGGATCGTCCAGGAGGATGAGGGGGGAAGGCAAGGAGGAAAAGGGGGATGAGAGAGGGTGAGGGCGGTGGGGAGGGGGCAGGAAGGACGTAGGAAAGAGGACGGGTGATGCACGAGGGGGCGAGGGATGAGGGACGGAGGCCTCAGTCCCACAAGCGCCCACGATTGGCAATGGCTGTGTCCAGGCGGCTTCGGGGAGCTGGTGCCCTTGCGGAAGTGTGCAGGTTTTTTGGATTGCCAGCTCTGCCCGCTCGCAGGGGGAGTAGCAGGAGAAGAAGGAGGAGGAGGAGGAGGAGTATGCAGAGGGGGATGACGAGGAGGTCGACAAGGGCGAGGAAGATGAAGGTGGGGAGTGCGAGGGCAAGGAGGAGGATGAGAAGGGAGGAGGAGGGGGAGGAGGTGCAGAAAGAGGAGGAGGAGGAGGCTAGGGAGGAAAGCGAGGAGAAATAGCAGGAGGAGGAGGAGGAGCTCGAGGAGGACGATAACGATGACGATGACGATGACGTCGACGACGACGACGACGACGGCGACGACGACGATGAGTTTGATGATGTTGATGATGAGGAGGAGGATGAGGATGAGGATGATGCCGCTGATGATGATGGTGCTGGTGCTGGTGATGATGCTGATGATGATGGTGGTGATGATGATGATACTGATGATGCTGATGATGAGGTTGACGATGCTGATGATGATGTGCTGTGGATGACGATGGTGAGGAGGAGGATGCTGCTAATGCTGAGGAGGAGAAGTAGAAGGAGGAGGAGGTTGGAGGATGAGTATGCGGCTGATGATGATGGTCATGATGATGTTGGTGATGCTGATGCTGATCATGATGGTGATGATGATGAGGACGATGATGATGAGGATGATGGTGGTGCTGCTGATGTTGTTGATGATGATGATGATGGTTATGGTGATTGTGATAATATTGATGCTGACGCTGCTGTGGATGACGATCGTGATGGCGACGGAGATGATGATGACGATGTTGATTATGATGATGACGACGACGATGATGATGATGATGATGATGATGATGATGACGATGCTGATGATGATGATGATGACGATGATGACGATACTGATACCGACGGTGGTGATGGGTTTGATGATAGTGATGATGATGACGATCATGATGATGATGCTGGGGGTGGTGGTGGTGATGGTGGTGGTGGTGATTACGATTTTGATATTGGTGATGCTGATGGTGATGTTGATGATGATGACGATGATAATGACGATGATGCGGACCATGATGATAACAATGGTGATGGTGGTGGTGGTGGTGATTGTGAGTTTGATGATTCAGATGCTGCTGGTGATGATGATGCTGCTGCTGATGATTGTGATGATGATGCTGATGACGGTGATGAGGATGAGGATGCTAATGACGATTATGATGATGCTGATGATGATGATGGTGATGGTGATGGTGATGGTGATGGCGGTGGTGATGATGATGATGATTGTGATGGTGATACTCAAGACGATAATGACGACGATTATGATAACGACGATGGTGATGCTGATATGATGATGCTGGTGGTGGTGACGATGATGATGGTGATGATGATGGTGATGATGATGACTGGTGACGCCGGTGGTGGTGGTGACGATGATGCTGTTGCTGGTGCTGATGCTGTGCTGATGCTGATGCCTTATGATGATGAGGAGGAGGAGGATGAGGATGATGAGCAGGAGGAAGAGGAGGAGAAGGAGGAGGAGGAGGAGGTGGACGACGCTGACCATGACATAGGGCAAGGAAGAGGAGGGCCTGCCGTTGGCGGCGGCCGTCCCTGCCGGGTGGCGGCCCGCGAGGCGGCAAGAGAGAGGGCTGCGCTGGAGAAGGACTCGCGCGCCTGCCGCGGGGTGGGGGCAGCACGCTCGGGCACGCGGTGACGAATGAGCAATACACACGCACGCACGCACGCCCCCCCCCGCACGCACACACACACACACACACACACACACACACACACACACACACACACGCACGCACGCACGCACGCACGCACGCACGCACGCACGCACCACGCATCGCACGCACGTACACGCAACGCAACGCTACGCACGCACGCACGCACACGCACGCATCCCCCCAACACCCCATAACACACACTCACACACACGACACCACTACACACCTTCACACACAACCACAACACCACACACCACAAACACGCACACACACACACAACGCGCACACACATACACACACAAACGTAAAAACACACACAACACAATCGAAAAACACGCACTGCACTTCAATCACTGCACGCACAAAGGCACACACATACCCACACACACACACTTTTTGGGCGTCGCGGCCCTACGCGCGACGACAGGACGTAGAAGGTAGGAAAACAGCGAAGCGAAGCGCGCGTCCAAGCCAACCCGAGCCCTCAGATATCACTCAGGGCCTGGCAGCCGCCGGCAGCCATAACCATCCGTGCATGGATGGCGGGGGGAGGCGGTAACAACACACGCACACACACACACACACCCAGACCCATAGGGGGCAAGGAGGGGGCTAGGGGTGCGTGTTGTTGGATGGGGGTCCCCGCTCGACCAGGAGCCTCCCCAGGGGTCCGACAGCCCACACCCACACACATAGCCAGTCCTCCTCCCTCCGATTCCCCTGTGGGCATGGGCCACGGGTGTGTACTATTCGCTCGTCACGCGCGCCTTGATGCGGGCCTGAGCGAGCTCAAACAGCAAGCGAGCCTACGGTCGAGGGTCGAGGTCCGAGGTTTTCGGACCTTATCGTTGGTTCTCGGCGGCTTCCCCGCCTCGGGGCGCTCTCCGTCGGCTGCGCCTCGACGAGGGCGCTCCAGGGGTGTCCGGACCGTCCCGAACGGCCGCCGGAGAGCCGAGGCAGGGCACGAAGACCAGCCGGGGACACTGTCGGGAAGTTTGGGTTGGCGTGCCGCTCCGTTGGTCCGCCTGAGGCCCCGCCCGCCTGTGCCCTGTCTCCCCAAGTAGAGCTGTGCGTAGCCCGCCTAGCTTTTAGCGGAAGAGGTTCGCTCTCGCCCCGCCGACCAAAAAGTGTCGCTCCGCTGGTTCCGGCCCACCACGCCTCGGCGCGGCTGGCTGTCCACTTCCCAGCCCCCGGGCTGCAGCGTCCCGAGCCGTTCCGAGCCTCCCGCTCCCACGGAGCGGAGCGGCGCGCGATCCGCCTGCAGGGCCTTGGCGCGTCGCCGGGGCCGCCGCGGCGACAGCGCCGTCACACCGGAGAGCAGAAGACGGCACGAGCACAAACTTTCGGAGCTCCGCGTGGAGTCCCGGCATCGGCGCTGGGCCCCCCTGGCGGCGCTTGCGACACTGCCCCTGGCGCGCTCCGCGCGCCAGGAAGGGGGGGCCAGCACCGATCCAAGAAATCCGTGCTGACTTGCGACATTTCATGTTCGTGTTTTTGCCCTTCCAGTGTTAGCCAGAGGCACTGTCGTGTGCCCTCACCAAATCCTCAGGGCCTCTTTCGAGCCGATCGACCCGATTCGATATCGGCTCCTGCCAACCCGATTCGATTCGAGTCCGAATTTCGGGTGATCCGATGCGGCCAGATGCGTGCATGGTGCTGTTGTGCATCCTGGCGCCGCCGATTCGATGCGATTCTGGCTCCATGCCAGTGTGGTCCGATTCGATACTCGTTTCGATCCGATCCGATTTCCCGATTCGATGTTGACTGTTCCTGATCCTGTACTCCTAGGAAGCAATTAGTACACAACCCTGCTTAGAGGAAATCACAACGCGTCCGGCACCTGGGCTGGGACGGAAGCGACATCGCCCGCAGAGTCCTTCACACTCCTCCTCCTCCTCCTCACTCCTCCTCCCCTCCTCTCCTCCTCCTCCTCCTCATTATCCTCGTTTCCATCGCTTTCCTCGTGTTCTTCTTCTTCTGCTCTTTTTCCTCCTCTTTGTTTTTCCTCCGTTCCTCCCTCACTTCGCTCCTACTCTTTATCTCCTTTTCCCTCATCTTCTCCTTTCCTCTCCTCTTCCTCCTCCTCCGGCCTCCCTCCTCCTCCTCCTCCTCCTCCTCATTCTTCCTCCTCCCCCACCTCATCCTCTCCTCCTCTTTCTCCCTCTTCCTCCTCCTCTCTCCCTCCTCAAACACCTCCTCATCCCTCCCGCTTGCTCCTCCACCTCCTCCTCATTTCTCCACTCCTCCACGTACTCCCTCCTCCTCCTCCTCTTCCTCCTCCCCCTCATCATCCTCCTCTTCCTTCCCTGATCCTCCTCGTCCTCTTCCCCCTCCCCTCACCTCCTCCTGCCTACTCCTCCCTCCTCCTCCTCGTCCTCCCTTCTCCTCCTCCTCCTCCTCCTCCTCCTCCTCCTCCTCCTCCTCCTCCTCCTCCCTCCTCCCTCCCCTCCTCTCCCCTGCTGCTACCTCCTCCTCCTTCTCCGCCTCCTCCACGTCCTCCTCCCGAATCCTCCTCTTCTCCTCTCCTCGTCCTCACTCCTCCTCCTCTCCTCCTCCACCTCCTGTACCTTCCCTCCTCCTCCTGCTCTTCCGTTCTCCTCCTCCTCCTCCTCCTCCTCCTCCTCCTCCACGCCTCCTCCTCCCTCCTCCTCCTCCTCCTCCCTCCTCCCCTCCTCCTCTCCTCTGCTTTCTCCTTCTCCTCTCATCCTTATCCTCCTCCCCCCTCCCCTCTCCTTCCCCATCCTTCGCCTCCTCCTCCTCCTCCTCCTCCTCCTCCTCCCCCTCGTCCTTCTCATCCTCCTCCTCCTCCTCTTCCTCCTCCTCCTGCTCCTCCTCCTCCTCCTCATCATCATCATCATCATCGTTATCATCACGATCAGCATCATCAACATCATCAGCAGCAGCATCATCATCAGCAGCATCATCATCACCATCACCCTCAGCAGTATCATCATCATCATCATCATCATCATCATCATCATCATCATCATCATCATCATCACCATCATCAGCATCATCAGCATCATCAGCATCATCTTCACCATCATCATTATCATCACCATCATCATCATCATCATCATCAGCAGCATCAGCAGCAGCATCAGCATCAACATCAGCATCAGCGGGATCCGCATCATCATCAGCATCATCAGTATCGGCATCATCAGCAGCATCATCACCCTCATCCTCATCTGCTTCTCCTCTTCCTTCCCCGCCTTCTCCTTCTCCTCCTCCTCCTGCTCCCCCTCCTCCTCCTCCTCCTCCTCCTCCTCCTCCTCCTCCTCCCCATTATCATCTCCTCTCTCCGTTCTCTTTCTCCTCCTCCTCCTCCTCTTCATCATCATCATGATCAGCAGCATCGTGTGCTCATCTCTCCTCCTCCTTCTCCTCCTCCTCCTCCCTCTCTGCCTCCTCCTCATCCCCCGTCTTCCTCATCCTCCTCCGTATCCCTTTCCTTCCCAACAACATCATCCTCACCATCATCAGCATCATCAACATCATCATCATTATCATCATCATAATCATCATCATTATCATCATCAGCATCCTGACCATCATCCTCAACATCCACAGCATCATCACCATCATCAGCATCAGCAACACCATCTTCATCATCATCATCATCAGCAGCATCATCAGCATCATCATCATCGTCATCATCATCAGCAGCATCAACATCAACATCAACATCAGCAGGACCAGCATCATCATCAACATCATCAGTACCAGCATCATCAGCAGCAGCATCACCATCCTCTCTCCTTTATTTGTCGCTGGTTCCTCCTTCCCCCCTCCTCTTCCTCCTTCTCTTCTTCTCCTCCTCATCCTCCTCCTCCACCTCCTCCCCTCCTCCTCCTCCTCCTCCTCCTCACCACCTCCTCTCCTCCTCCTCCTCCTCCTCCGACTCATCCTCCTCACTCTCCCTCCTCTCGTCCTCCTCCTCCCTGATTATCATCCTCCTTCTCCTCCTGCTCTCCTCCTCCTCTCCTCCTCCTCCGCCCTCTTTTCCTTTTCTCATTGTCCTCCTCCTCCTCCTCCTCCTCCTCCTCCGCCTCCGTCATCCGCCTCCTCCTCCCCTTTCCTCCTCAGCCCTCTCCTCCTCCCCTCCTCCTCCTCCTCCTCCCTCCTCCTCTCCTCCTCTATCCTCCTCCCATCCTCCTCCTCTTCCTCCTCCGTTCCGTCCTCCTCCTTCCTCTTCGTCCTCCCTCCTCGCCTACCCCCGTCCTCCCCCTTAACAAATCTCCTTGTTCTCCTCCTCGCTCCTCCTCTTCCTCCCCCTCCTCCTCCGCCTCCTCCTCTCCTCCTCCTCCTTCTCCTCCTCCTCCGCCTCCTCATCCTCCTCCTCCCCTCCTCCTCGCCCCTCCCCCTCCTCCTCCTCCTCCTCCTCCGCGCTCCTCCCCTCCTCCTCCTCCTTTCCTCCTCCTCATCCTCCTCCGCTTCCTCCTCCTTTTCGTCCTCCTCCTCTCCTCTTCGTCCTCCTCCTCGCCCGATCAACAACCCCCTTCCCCTCCTCACCTCGTATCATCCCCTTTTTTCCCCCCCCCCCCTTTCCTCACTCATCCTCCACTTCCTCCCCCTCCTCCCTTCCGCCTCCTCCTCCTTCTTTCCCTCCTCCTCCTCCTCCTCCTCCTATTCCTCCTCCTCCTCCTCCTCCTCCTCCCCCCATGTGCCTCCTCCTCCTTCTGCTCCTCCTCCTCCTCATCATCCTCTGCATATCCGTGTTCTCCTCCTCCTCATCATCGGCATCGACATCGTCAACAACATCATCATCGCCATCATCAGCAACATCAGCATCACCAGCATCATCAGCATCAACATCAGTAGACGTATCATCAGCATCGCCGTCATCATCACCATCATCATCAGCAGCGGCATCCTTGTCGTCGTCACCATCAGCATCAACCTCGGCATCATCGGCATCATCAACGTC